TATAATTAAAGTTTCTTTTTGTAGTACAGGTCAGGTACCTGTGAAGTTCTAACCATATTTTGCTCTTACAGTAGTCTGTTAATAAGTATCGTGTGTGAAAGAGTGTAGCCTCGGGTGTTCTAGTAATAAATTCCAGTCCAAAATATTTTGTCCTTTGTCCATTTTTTATAGCTAAGCTTTTGCTTCATATCTGCCTCCATGTTGCATATCAACATTTCTTATGCTGTTATTTTGGCCAATATTCCTGGGAAAGACTATTCTTGTACACCAACACATCAGAAGTACAGTCGCTCAAAAGAGTATCTGAAAAATGTCACAATGGTTGCCATGTAATATATATAAGACGTTTCCTGCCGTTTGTCATTCACGTGTTTCATATGAATATAATTAATATGGTTATATTAACAGGGAATGACAGTCTAAAAAAGACATTATCCATGTTAGACACATACAGTAAACAATATGTGTGTGGTAATGCTTTAATGTTCTTCTGCGCAACAACAACAACAACTAAATGCATATGTTGACTATCCATACGTAGCATTTGGTATTCATACATGTATTAGATATCAGGGCATGTTATAATTAATAGGTAAGGTAGACAGTAATGGCATCTCACGTTTATTGAATTAATATTTTGTGTAACCACCTCCTGCATCCTGAACACATTGTTTGGGTTCATAGCAACATGGCAACTCTACCCTGTTGTCGACACTAGTGTGTTTCACATGGGGCATCAAACCTTCTTTGTAGGTTGATTATACTGATTACATACAGGTATGACTATAATGCAATGTTTACTGTTTACATGTCGTAGGATACTTGTAATTATGAAGATAAACTACATTGGTTATAAGCAGTTGTGACATCTACTCATGCTTACCAACCTTACCGAGGCAACAATGGCCAGACAACGGGTTGTATTGATCGTTTTGACATCCATTGGACCCCACTTTTCAGATACTTTTTTGAGTGACTACAGTACAGTACTAGGGATCTATTCCCAATCATCAGTACAATGGACAAGCAGGAGTAGAATGTGGATGTTCTACAACTCTGGTTGATTCAACAGATTTTATAAATGAATTACTGCTTAACCACATTACTATCCAACTATACATGTACCCTACAGCAATTCAGACTAGTTGATACATGATAATCTAGGAATTAATCTTTTATTAGCTATCTAATGTATATATTGTGCAATATATATGTCCTCGTGTTTTAAACCTATCAGTGTAAGTAATGGTGGTGGTTGTTGCTTCCAATGGAATTAGAGATTTCTGCTTATCTTTTCCTTTTAGCAACATCAGTTAAAGTCATGATAGACGATCAACAAGATGATGTAAGTCAACTTCATGATTGTATTACAGTAAGTCCTCGCTTAACGTCATGGTTCTGTTCCTGAAAACCGCGACGTTAACAAAAACAACGTCAACGGAATCAATTTCCCCATAAGTAATGGATAAAATACGGGAGTTACGTTCCCCAGCCTCCCTTTGCCCCATAAGATTCATTACATATACAGAAATTCAATGGTATTTTTATGGAAAATATTTTTTTATTTTTTTTTACGGGGACCAGGGCACAGGTCACTGACCGACACTTTGGGGGATTTAATAATTATTCTTAGTAAATAAAATTTATAAAAAGAAAAGTAAAATAATAATAACAATAATATTAACACTAATAATAATAATAATAATAAAGAATTACATTAAAGAAATACAAAAATGAAAAACAAATCAATAGTGAAATGCTATATGTATGTTCTGTTGTCAACTAAGAGAAACAATTGAGACTGCAATTGTGTGCAAATGAGGCAGAAAGACAGATCAGCAACCTGGGTCTTGGTCACAATTTTTGTGATGTCATATAGCAGCAGGGTCTACCATTAGACAACATATTTATTCCAATATCTTCCCAGGCGATAGTACCTCCCTGTTTGGTAGTTGCCGACTACCTACAGGTATATATAAATAAACTAAATCATTCTGTATTGCACTTGCTGATGGGTGGAGGTGGTGAGTAGTGGAGCGGAGGAGGAGGGTGGCTCCTCCCGCTCTGACTGGTTTTCCTCCTCGCTTGCAGGCTGTTGTGAAGATGCTGCTTCTGCCTTACGGCGATAAAAAAAAAGAATCCAGAGTTGACTGCTTAGTGCTCCTCTTCTTTTTGTCCTTGTAGATCTCATTATAGCAACTAAGAGTTTCCTCCATGTTGCATATAATCTTTGAGCTATGTGCTCTGTTTAGGTCGTCATCAATGAAGATTTGCATTTCTTGCTGGATCATGTCAAACGCTTCTGCCATCTTCTTGGTAGTTAGCGTTCTTTGTGGTTCTTCTACATCATCATCTTCAGCGGCACTTGTTTTGTTAGCAGTAGCAGATCTTCATTAGTAAGCTTTTCCAACTCGGGAAAGCCTGCCTGTCTAATCAAGCTGAGGATATCCCTATTCACAGGTGGGACTAAGTCCGTGAATCACGAAAAAATGTTCATGACTCGGTCCATAACTTAAACCACACACCATTCAGGTAATTTTTTGAAACTTCTTCCCATGCCTTACCAATGTTGTCGATTGCATGAAGAATGTTGAAGCCCCTCCAATATTCTCGGATAGTAGGTTTATTTTCTACGTCAGTAGCCTTGAGCAGTTGGTCCATGGTATGCTGTAAATAAAAAGCCTTGAATGCGGTGATAACGCCTTGGTCCATAGGCTGCATCAGTGCTGTCTTGTTGGGAGACAGGAAGACAACTCGAACATTGTCATGTAAGTCGTCGAGGCTGGGAGGATGAGCTGGGGCCTTGTCAATGACAAGAAGAATTTTGAAGACCAGGTTCTCCTTGGCACAATACTCCTTCGGTGCAGGGACGGCGTATACGTTTAACCACTGGCTAAATATGGCGCTGGTTATCCATGCTGTCTTATTTGCCATGTAGATAACAGGAAGGTGAACCCTAGAGTAACCTTTCATGGCACGTGGGTTGGCAGCGCGAGAAATTAGCATCGGCTTCAGCTTGAAATCGCCAGCAGCGTTCGCGCCAAGCAGGAGCTTCAAGCGGTCTTTTGCCGCTTTAAAACCTGGTGCTCTTTTTTCTTCCTTGGCGATATAGGTTTTTTCGGGCATCCTCTTCCATAAGAGACCAGTCTCATCCACATTGAAGACTTGTTTCACCGAGTAGCCTCCTCGATAATGCTTTTGAACTCTGGCGGGAATATTTTGGCAGCAATCGCATCTGAACTAGCAGCTTCACCAGTCATCTTAATATTATGAAGTTACAACGGTGCTTAGAACATTGAAACCATCCTGGGCTGGCCGTAAAGGTCTCATCCTTCGATCCTTTTACCTCTGCTGCCTTTAAGTCGTCAAACAAGGATTTTGCTTTTTGCTGGATAACAATAAGGCTCACAGGGGCATTGCGTTGATTCTGATCTTCCATCCACATAGCGAGCATCCTTTTCAGCTTTTCAATCAGAACTTTGAGCACGACTTGTCTTTGTTGCACTCAGAGAAGTACCACTTCAGCACTAGCCTTAATCTTGTCCGTGTTGGTCCGGATAGTACGCACTGTTGTGGGGGTTAGACCTAGGGAAGCAGCAATGTCCACCGTATGTTGACCTTTCTCAAAACGGGTTAAAACCTCCATTTTCATAGCAAGACTAATGGTCTTGTGTTGCTTCTTCACAACACTAGCATCAGTAGCGCTTGATGGGCGCTTGGAAGCCATTTTGAATGGTTAAAGTACAGTATTAAGAGCAAAAACACTTAAACACGCACAAACGCTGTGGAAGCCTAACAAAGACTGGCGACGCTGTGTGACGCTTTGCGAGTGAGAGCGTAGCGTGCCTAGATGAGAGCATCGTAGCGCGCCAATATGAGAGGGGGTTATGCGCCGTACAAAGTAGTCCGTGACAGGGTTATCCGAAGCATGGGTATTTAAAGCGTAGTGATAATATAACGAAACAACGATATCGGGGGCAACGTTAAACGAGGACTTACTGTATTTATATTTACATGGTTGTTGCTTTCAGAAACGTGATGAAAGAGAAATGTAACATTTTATATATAGTAACTGGAAGGAGTTTGGAAGAGTAGTAATAGAAAGTTAGTAGTGAGTGTGATCAAATGTAATGATAAGTAGAAAAGGGAGATAGGGAGAAATAAATGGATGATGTGGAGTACATCAAGTGTCTTGGATTGATTGTTTCAGGAAATGGAATGACAAGTGATGAATTTAATAAAAGAGTAACTAGGGAAAGAAATTACAGTACTGTAATGAAGTTAAGAAATACTTGGAGAGGTACAGCAATGTCAGGCAAAGATAAAGCTGCATTGCAGAATTTGTTAATCCTCAGTATTATGTGGGTGTGAGGCATGGACTTGGGGTGTAAAAGAAAGCAGTATGTGGGGCTAAATAGGATACAAGAAAGAAAAATAAGTAATGTTGGGCAGAGAAGGTTTGCACACTGAGAGAATGGGAAGTACAGGAATGGTGTATAAATCAGAGATGCTTGACAGAAAAGACGTGGAGACCAAAAGGAAAATCGGAAGAGGTAGTGAAGTATGGACGAAGTAGTGAGGTAGATGGACATAAAGAAACAGTAGTGTGTATGATTGAGAGGACTGTGGTGACAAGTGATTTTTGGTGAAGGTCATCTAGTTTCAAGTGCATTTAGTCTTTGTTGAGGGGACATATCAGTGATGAGACTTGACAATGTCACGTGTCTGATCTCTTTCTCTGTGTCTTTCATTTGTTAAGAAAAAAACCTAATGAGTGAAGCAGGTTTCTGTGAAGGGAAATGTTAACTTGATTCTGTTCCTGTTGTGAAAGGGATTCCTTTAGCAGAACACCTTTTTTTAACATTAAGAATGAATAAAAGACAATAAATGATAGGAAAACCTGTACTGTATTTGTGCCTGTGTCTGACCACCTTACACGAAGTGGGAAAATCTTGAAAGAGTGAAAAAAGTTTTCCCATAATTATTGATGTTTTCTACAGATCGCTGCTAAGATCCAACCGTCCGGTCAAAAGCGTCCCTTGGAAGAGGCAGAAGGCGGCATGGATCGTTTACCAGGTAGGTTCTCTCCAAAAATGTAATATTAAGTGACTCACTTTTCGGATCTATGTCGGATCTTCTTCCTGTTAGTGCTGATAAATAGACCACTGGAGTTTGATTGATCAAGTTGTTGTGTATGTTGTCATGAGGTTTGTGTCCCTTGTAGAGTGTCTTCAGAACAGCTATTGCTCTGACCATCATTGTCAGCTTGGCTCTTCTGGTTGAGTTGTTTTATTGTTCTGCTGGTATTTTACTCTACATAAAGCTCATTTGTTAGTTGCAGTAAAAATTTGTTTGTTTAATATTACTTGGATTGGGCCAAGTGTATTTTATTTCTATCTTGAGTTCCTTTATGGACAAATTTAACCAGATGCTTAAATTTCAAATGTGGGGAAGTTTTTGCTCTCCCTCTCTCCAGCTGGAGGATAATGGTGAAGACTTTTGTACTGTATATTGGTCTTGGTCTCAGTCACCTAAATGTTAACAGCATCTGTCCTTGAGTTTGTTTGGAGGTCCTCACTGTACAGTCTCTTGTAGTACAGTATAGGTTGTGGAGGTAAAGTGAGTGGAACTTTTATAAATATATTTGTGTACTTCATTTATGGATACACAAGAATCTAGGTTATAAGGTTATCTAATTCAGCAACCTCAGAGCATGTTGCAATAATTAAAAATATTTGGTTCATATTTATGAAGAAAAAATATCTAAATGTCATCCAATTGCACTAGTACAGTACCCTTATTCCTGTTCTTAATAATGGCTCAAGGCCTGAAAGCATTAACTTATTCTGTAAGTGTGTAAAGAGGCAACTACAGGGATGTGGGTCAGAGACTGTCTCTCATGGAAAGATATCTTAGAGAACCTCAAACATAGGCTGTGTGGTACTGTACCACCAGCAAGTTATACTGTACAATTTTGTGAAAACAAGTGGAGTGTTAGGTGGAGGGTGTATGTTAAAAGTAAGTGAATGCAATTATTGGACAGGTTTAAGGAAGGTAATTAGATATATACAGTACTGTACTTGGACTAGGAGGCCAAAAAATCAATGAGAAGACTTAAATTGTTTAGATTGGAGTAAAGGTTTGAAAGATGTTTGAATTATGAGTGGAAGTTGGTGTAATAATTTAGGAAGAATGGCTGAGAAAATAGTAAAATAAATTTGTGATTGCATAAGAGAATTAGTAGTAAAAAAGAGAATGTTTAAATTTGTAGGAATCTCCATTTATCTCCAGTGGTGTCAACAAGTCGCTACAGCTAGCTTATTATGCCAGTCAAGTTTGTCTGGCTCTCTTGGTCACAAGGGCATCTATTGAAGTGTCACTTGCACGTTAAGTGGCCTAATAATTTAAGATGCCCAGAGAAAGAGCTAAACCAGAACAAAAATTCATGCAGTGAAGTATAATACAGATTCTAAGAGAGCTGCTTGTGTTTGCAATTATCATTCAAATTATGTTTGGTGAAAACTCCCCAAAATATCTTTCCAAATTTACCTTCAAAACCTGACGTAGTTTGATATTTTACAAAAATTATCCCCGGGTTGAAAATTGGGAGCTAATCCTATATCCATCTCCTCCCCTGTTTTGGCACTCACAAATCTGGGCAGAACCCTGTAAAACTAGATATTTGAGATTTAAACTGTTTGGCTGATAAATTCTTGGAGATTGTGATATTGATTTGTTAAATTGTATTTAGATATGATTTCGTAGGTTGAAATTCCTTGTTTAAATGATTGTTAACTATTATGAAAAAAAGAACTTGCAGCAGGTCACATAGTGGATCTTTTAAAAGTTCACAGTGAAATAATGAGTTTTCTTTACTGCATTTATTTTGTTCAAATTAGCAATGGTCTGCAAGTAGAACTTACCTGTATCAGGGTTTGGTGTTTTGAAAGTGCAGAACAATTTGATATTTATAAATATTTTGCCTGTAGGTCCTGATGCCAAGCGACCCCCAGGTGGTGGTGGTGGTGGCGGCGGCGGCAGCGGAGGCGGTGGTGGCGGAGGAGGAGGAAGTGGCAGTGGAGGCGGAAGTGGAAGCGGCAGCTCCAGTGGTGGTGGCGGAGGAGGTGGTGGTGGTGGAGGTGGGGACGGAGTCTTCATGGGAGGGCCATTGATGGGTGGTCCAGGTGGTCCACCTGGAGGTGGAGGCCCTCCAGGTGGTGGCGGTCCTCATCGTGGTCTTGGAGCAGTCGAGTCTGATGAGATCCAGGTTCCAGACAAGATGGTTGGCCTTAGTGAGTATAGTTGCCCGTGGGTTCCCAGCTCTTCATTGTACATTTTCTTTATATTGTATCCTCTAACACATATTGTAGAAGTCCTCTTCTTCTGTTATCCTGCCTCTTTATTTACCTAATGGCCATCCACTAGAGGTAGCCATGCAATGGGAAGAAATCCAATCCCTCTGTGGTGCTTGATAATTTTATCTAGGGCTATTTTGAATCCTAGTGCTGTTCTCAATTCTACAGCTTGTGCTGGTAGACTGCTTCATAGATCTATGTATACAATAGTATAGTCATAGATTTCTTTGTTTTCAAGCATGTATTTCCTGCTATCAGTCTCCATTCCCAGTCCTTCTGTATATAGTAGAGTACTTTTCTTTTTCCCCACAATCCCCTTCCATGTCCTTATCACTGACTCCTGCATTTGCTGTAAAAAACTCACTGATTTTATTTGAGGGCAAATGTTCAAATCTGTCACCAATTAATAAAGGACTAGAATGTGCATGAGGTTTTCAACCTATTAACTGTTTTTTGACTAATTGGAAGTGTGGTATATTGGTACATTACACTAATATTTTATCTTAAACTAAAGTAAGATCTCATATTTTGCGCGATTTCATTTCGCGTTTTTGAATTTCGCGAGCACTACCTAATGTAACCAAGTCTTATATTTGGCGTAAAATATCGTGAGTTTAGCGAGATCCAGCAAGCTGAATGCTGGCCACCCTCTTGAATGATGTCACAGCCCTCATACCAGCTACAGTCATTTCAGCTACAACGCGTGTTTAGTCAACGCGATTGATGAATAGGGGAACGCTGTTTGTAAAACGCTAACCTTTGCACACGAATGTTGGCTATAGCGCGATTCCATCCTCAATGTTTTGATTCCATCCGCAACGTTTTAAGCGTGGTGAGGGGTTATGCAATGTTTACAGTTTACGTTCGACATCACATGTTTAATTGATTCTTGTCTTTTGTTTGTGAAGTGTTTTTTGAGAGGTACTCTGTAAATTTATTTTATTTTTGCAAATTTAGCTGTTACCCATAAATACTGGATGAAAAGAAAAGTGAAAAGAATGTTTCGCAGTGAGGACTAATAATGGTTTACACTAGCGCTTTCTCTTTACATCATGTGATCAGTTGAATCGTGCGGTTTCTATCGATTGCTCCGTGATTTTTGCTGTTTTATCCAATTTTGTTGTGCTAGTGATGAATATGGAAAGACAAGGTAAGAAGAATGTTTCCAAGAAACATTCTGGTGATCAAATTGCCGGTGGTGAACGTAAAAGAGGTTTACAAGAACGAGTTGTATCCCACGCCATCCTAGTGACTGCCCGGGCTGCTATTGTGTGCTTTTTTGGGTGGTGCTACCACCTGTTGAGTCAAGATAATGGCCTCTGCCTCTACTGGGGTCCTACTGGTGCTGGTGGGACAGACCCACCTAAGTGGCCAACTAAGGAAAAGGAGAAGTGGGACTATCATAAGGGAGTTAAATTTGCCAAGTACTCAATGCAGGATAAGCAGCGTGTGATTAAGTTACTTGAGGAAGACTTAAAATCTAGTTTCTGGAAAGCACAATCAGGTCAATAAAGGCAGAATTTGGATCATTTGGAGGTTATAAATGGGAAAATCAGAGCTTGATGTAGAGTGGCCAGTCTATATTGTTATTTTTCCCATCAGTTTATGTACAGTATTTGCATTTGGCGAATTTGAATTCGGCGCATTTTTTCCAATATATTACTCGCGAAATACAAGATCTTAATGTATTTCATGTCAAAGCCTGATTTTTTAAACGAAATTCCTGGTGTGTGTTATTGTAACACCAGCATCAGGGTGTGTGTTATTTTAACACAAGCATCATGGTGTGTGTTATTTTAACACCAGCATCATGGTGTGTGTTATAACACCAGCATCATGGTGTGTTATACCACCAGCATCATGGTGTGTGTTATTGTAACACCAGCGTCATGGTGTGTTATAACACGAGCATCATGGTGTGTGTTATTATAACACCAGCATCATCATGTATTATACCACCAGCATCATGGTGTGTTATACCACCAGCATCTTGGTGTGTGTTATAACACCAGCATCATGGTGTGTTATACCACCAGCATCATGGTGTGTGTTATTGTAACACCAGCGTCATGGTGTGTTATAACACGAGCATCATGGTGTGTGTTATTATAACACCAGCATCATCATGTATTATACCACCAGCATCATGGTGTGTTATAACACCAGCATCATGGTGTGTTATTATTACACCAGCATCATGGTGTGTTATTATTACACCAGCATCATGGTGTGTGTTATTATAACACTAGCATCATGGTGTGTGTTATTGTAACACCAGCATCATGGTGTGTTATTACACCAGCATCATGGTGTGTGTTATTATAACACCAGCATCATGATGTATTATAACACCAGCATCATGGTGTATTATACCACCAGCATCATGGTGTGTTATACCACCAGCATCATGGTGTGTTATAACACGAGCATCATGGTGCATGTTATTATATCACCTGCATCATGTTGTGTTATAACACCAGCATCATGGTGTGTTATTACACCAGCATCATGATGTATTATACCACCAGCATCATGGTGTATTATACCACCAGCATCATGGTGTATTATACCACCAGCATCATGGTGCATGTTAATATTTCACCAGCATCATGGTGTGTTATTATAACACTAGCATCATGGTGTGTTATTATAACACCAGCATCATGCTGTGTTATTATAACACCAGCATCATGGTGTGTGTTATTGTAGCACCAGCATTGTGGTGTGTGTTATTGTAACACCAGCATCATGGTGTGTTATTATACCACAAAGCATCCTGGTGTGTTATTATACCACAAAGCATCCTGGTGTGTTATTTTAACACCAGCATCATGGTGTGTGTTATAATACCAGCATCATGCTGTGTTATTACACCAGCATCATGGTGTGTTTTATTATAACACCAGCATCATGATGTATTATACCACCAGCACCATGGTGTATTATACCACCAGCACCATGGTGTATTATACCACCAGCATCATGGTGTCTTATAACACCAGCACCTTGGTGTGTTATTACACCAGCATCATGCTGTATTATACCACCAGCATCATGGTGTATTATACCACCAGCATCATGGTGTTTTATAACACCAGCATCATGGTGCATGTTATTATATCACCAGCATCATGGTGTGTTATTATAACACCAGCATCATGGTGTGTGTTACTGTAACACCAGCATCATGGTGTGTGTTATTGTAACACCAGCATCATGGTGTGTGTTTTTGTAACACCAGCATCATGGTGCATGTTATACCACCAGCATCATGGTGCATGTTATTATAACACCAGCATCATGGTGCATGTTATTATAACACCAGCATCATGGTGCATGTTATTATAACACCAGCATCATGGTGCATGTTATTGTAACACCAGTATCATTGTGTGTGTTATTGTAACCCCAGCATTGTGGTGTGTTATTGTAACCCCAGCATTGTGGTGTGTTATTGTAACCCCAGATTGTGGTGTGTTATTGTAACGCCAGCATTGTGGTGTGTTGTTATAACACTAGCATCATGGTGTGTTAATGCAACACCAGCATCGTGGTATGTGTTATTGCAACACCAACATCGTGGAGTGTTATTGTAACACGAGCATCATGGCGTGTTATTGTAACACCAGCATTGTGGTGCGTTATTATAACACCAGCATTGTGGTTTGTGATGTTTTTGTAACACTGTTTTAGCTGTGGTATGATATCGAACTTTCTCACTTGTTATCACTTGCTTGAATGAGTGTAGGGTTAGTCGCTGGTACCTTTGATGCAGCTGAGTGAGATAACAGGTAATCTCATGGCATGTAACCTTTGATACAGCCGTAGATTGGTTGATAGTTGAAATCGTCATAGCTGGCCTGGGTTGTAATTATCTTAGCTTGTAAGTTAAACAAGACACAGGAACTGTTCTCTTCACTCGTTGTTCCTTGGTTTAATGTAAACACACGTGGTAATTTTCTAGTTATATTGGGTAGTCATGTCTGTACACTTATTTGGTATTGACAGACTAATGAGCATTAGCTGTTAGCTTGTAATTAGCTGATATTAATTAGAGAGTGGTACAGCCTGGAGAGCTGGTCTCACGACACGACTTTAGGGTATTATGTCGGGCTGTGAACTGGGGGAACTGGGCTGTACTATCTTGAGTCTGGTGCCTGGTGGTTGGAGAATGACCCACACTTCAACAGGGACATTATCTAAACAGCCTACCAACACAGAGGGTTGAGTCTGTAGATTTATGGGCTGTACACCAGAGAAGGTGTTAAACAACAAATGTTTATGGGCAGTCCACCCTCATAGGTGTGACAGAAGAAATGCAGTGTTATGGTAATGTGGTGTTATTGTAACACCAGCATTGTGGTGTTTTATTATAACACCAGCATCATGGTATGATGTTATAACACTAGCATCATGGTATGTTTTCATAACACCATCATCATGGTGTTTTATTATAACACCAGCATCATGGTGTGCTTTATTATAATACCAGCATCATGGTGTGTTATTTTAACACCAGCATCATGGTGTGTGTTATTATAACACCAGCATCATGGTGTGTGTTATTATAACACCAGCATCATGGTGTGTGTTATTATAACACCAGCATCATGATGTGTGTTATTATAACACCAGCATCATGATGTGTATTATTATAACACCAGTATCATGTGTGTTATAACACCAGCATCATGAAGTGTGTTATTATAACACCAGTATCATGATGTGTGTTATTATAACACCAGCATCATGATGTGTTATTATAACACCATCATCATGATGTGTGTTATTATAACACCAGCATCACGATGTGAGTTATTATAACACCAGCATCATGGTGTGTTACTATAACAGCCAGCATCATGGTGTTATTATAACACCAGCATCATGGTGTGTTATTATAACACCAGCATCATGATGTGTTATAACACCAGTAT